TGTAGGGAATAATTCTGGACACAGTGGGTGCAGGTGAAAACAAGCAGATGATTTATTGGTTCACATAGCTGGTGGAGTACTCATCAGGGCGTTAGGCTGGTGAGCACTAACTTAACCAAAACATACATTAGATTATATAGGTAGCAGATGGACGAAGGAGAAGTGATTTGATAGGTCTAGCAGTGGAAGTGAGATATGCACATAAGCCAACGAGCTACGAAAGTTACACAGTATCTCTGCCCATTGCCAATTAAACGGGTTATCACTAATACAGGTAGTTATTCCTAACAAGCTAAATGAGCCAACATAAACAAAGGCACATTGATGGTCATTTTGTCAGCCAGAAATATAATGCGTCTCCTGCAGGGGTGGTATTGTCTTGGCGCAATCTTTGGGATCCAAGCTTATTTTCTAGGACAAAGCAGACAATGAACAACAATCCCATGTGGTTGTTTGGTACTGGCCTTATCAACGTGAGGCCCTTTTGGAATGTAGTTGCCAGGACGACCAGAGTCAGGTTAACTGCTGTCTGTGTGCTTTCCAGGCCTTGCCTAATGATTTAGGATTTGAGTTGTCAGTTCTCAACAAGATACCATGGATTGCCTCAGTTTACCCTACAGTTCCCTCCTTTTGACCTTAGGGTTCTTTAACCCACCAGGTTAAATACAACAGTATCAGGGGTTTCTAATTTACTTTGGAAGCACCGGTACAGCACCAGCACTGTAATGAATGTTATAATCGAAACTCCCCACATAACTTGGCAAAAACGATTCAAATCCATTCCCAAGGTATTTCGTCGCCAGTAAAGGCCCATGATGATAGGTTTTACCTCTACTGCCTGGTCAAGTGCCACAGAATTGGTGTTTGGCATAGTAATGAGGGTGTCATAAGGAGGAGGGAGAAAACTTGTTCATCTTGGCCTCTGGGGATAGAACAAGAAGTAATGGGCTTAAACTGCAGCAATGAAGGTTTAGGTTGGACATTAGGAAAAACTTCCTAACTGTCAGGGTAGTCAAACACTGGAATAAATTGCCCAGGGAGGTTGTGGAATCTCCATCTGTAGAGATATTTAAGAGTAGGTTAGATAAATGTCTATCAGGGATGGTCTAGACAGTATTTGGTCCTGCCATGAGGGTGGGGGACTGGACTCGATGACCTCTCGAGGTCCCTTCCAGTCCTAGTATTCTATGATCCATGGCGTTTCCCTATTTGTGTGTACCTCAGACGGCCAACCCCGATATGTCTTTGGGCATCGGCCACCAACTCCTCGATCTTTGCCTGCAGGGCCAGTAAACCCTCCTTTTGGTACTTATTTCTGCAATGCCACTCAGGATCTCATGTTCGGTTACCCATCATCGCCAAAGTGTGGTAGAGTCGTGTCCCATCCACGGTCAGGATCACCTGGCGAGGGACTGTTATGCACACAGACGGATATGTAGAGGGGCAGGATGGAGTGATCTGTCTGGGTAGTCAAACACCAGTAGGTACCGTTTATTTGGACCAGCTTGGTGTTCATTTGTTTCTCTGTGACAACCACATCAAACCTAGGCAGATTCATCATGATGTTAAATGGGCAGGCACACAAGATTTCCTTATCAAAGTGGGTGCAACAATCCCTGAGGTACAGGGAGACCCCACACTTTCAGAAGAAAGAGTTACTCACCTTGTGCAGTAATGGTGCTTCTTCAAGATGTGTCCCTGTGGGTGCTGGTACATTCTCGTGCTGGCGACCGGAGATCTTTCTAGCTGTTTCCACTGCACCGTGCCCGGGGTTTGGAGCCCCGTGTTAGTCACTGTAGACAGTACTGCCTGTCCTACCTCCATGGAAGATGCAATTGAGGAAGAGAGAGCATAATGTTGTGCAAAAGTATGGTCCGAGGACCAGGTGAGGGCATTACAGATATCCTGTAGAGGAACATTGCTGAGAAAGGTGGTAGTAGAGGACATCGCCCTGGTGGAATGTGCTGTAATCGTTTCAGGTAAGTTTTTGTTGTAGAGTACATAACATGTTCGAATGCAAGAAAAGATCCATTTAGAAATCCTCTGTGATGAGACCGCCTATCCTTTGGATCGTTCCGCATAGGACAAAAAAAAAAAAAAGGCTCGGGGATAGTCGCCAGGGCTTGGTGAAGTCAAGATAAAATGCAAGCGCCCTGCAGACATCCAGAGTGTGCCAAGCTGCCTGAACTGGATCGGCATGAGGCTTAGGAAAAAATGCAGGTAAGTGTATAGGTTCATTGACATGAAAAGGCGAAAGGACTTTGGGGAGGAACTTAGGGTTTGGCCAAAGTATTACCCCATTCTTTGTGAATACGGTATAAGGGGAGTCAGCCATCAGTGTGGTGAGTTCACTCACCCTCCTACTGGAGGTTATTGCCACGAGGAATGAGACTTTCATTGAGAAATGAGACCAGGAGTAGGTTGCCAGTGGTTCAAAAGGTGGCTGTGTCAGACTTTTGAGAACATGGTTGAGGTCCCAGATAGGAAGTAGTGGTCGGACTGGTGGGAAGGTATTCTGTAGCCCCTTAAGGAATCTTTTAGTTATTGGGTCAACAAGAAAGGAGACCCCATGTCCTGTATGATGAAATGCTGCAATGGCGGCTGCATGTACTTTGATGGTAGTAAGAGCTAGGCCCAATTGCTTCAGGTGTAGAAAGTAGTCCAGTAGGGTGCGGAGGGAGGCATGCTCAGGGGATGTTATGTGGGAACTTTTGAACCAATGCACGAATCTGTTCCATTTGTAGAGATACGTTCTCCTAGTGGACTGTCTCCTACTATTGACCAGTATCTCTTTCACCGGTTCTGAACAGGCATTTTCAGCATCTTGGAGCCATGAAGGAGCCAGGCGTGAAGATGCAGCTTGTGGAGTTCCAGATGGAGATCCCTCCCGTAGTTCTGTGATAGGAGGTCGTGGTGAAGTGGGAAGGTATACGGATCTACTATCGCCATCTTGCAGAGGTAAGGATACCACGTCTGTCTGGGCCATGCTAGTGCCACAAGTATGGCTCGAGCACGATCTATTCTGATCTTGTTGAGTACCTTGTGAAGGAAGGGAAAGGGCGGGAAGGCGTAGAGGAGGGGACCATCTCATGTGATCAAAAAGGCGTCACCGAGGGAGTGCTTCCCTAGAGCTGCCCTTGAACAATAGAGATGACACTTTGTTTCCTTTTGTGGCAAAGAGGTCTATGTCCAGTTGTCCCCATTGATGGAAAACTGGGGCAAGCACATTACTGTTCATCTCCCATTTGTGTTGATCGTGGAATGTCGGCTTAAAGCATCTGCTATGACATTGAGTACTCCAGGTAGGTAGGAAGCTATGGGGGTAACATGGTGTGTAAGGCACCAATTCCATAATCTGATGGCTTCCGTGCAAAGGGAGTGGGATCGTGCCTCTCCCTGTCGGTTGATATAGTACATGCAGGTGGTATTGTCGGTCATTATAGAAATGGATTTGTGAATTATGTAGGGTTGGAAGTGTTGGCATGCATACCTGACTGCTCGCAACTCAAGAAGGTTGATATGTAAGGTTTGTTCCATAAAGGACCATTTGGCTTGAGCTGTGATGGTGCCTAGGTGCGCTCTCCAACCCATGAGTGACGCATCCGTCACTATAGTGAGTGTGGGAGAAGGTCGATAGAATGGTACACCTAACATATTCCAAGGGTTTATCCACCATTGCAGTGAGTTTAGAATGTGAGGTGGAATAGTCAGTCGTTTGGAGAGAGAATCTCTAGAGGGTTTGTAAGTCATGGTTAACCATGACTGAAGGCCTCTCATATGAAGTCTGGAGAGCTTGACCACATATATCGTGGAGGCCATATGTCCTAGGATCTTGAGACATTCGTGTACCATCATGGTAGGAGCTAGTTGTGCACTCATGATAAGATCGTGCATGGTGTTGAATCTGTGTTCGGATAGAGTGGCCTTTGCTGCCACAGTATCGATGAGTGCTCCTATGAACTCCAACTTCTGCATTGGATGTAAAGTGGATTTTGAGAGATTTATGTGGAAGCCGAGATTGGTGAGGGAGCTCATGGTAATGTCAATCATGTCCTGGGTCTTGTGGAAGGACGATCCTTTTATCAGACAGTCATCCAGGTATGGAAAAATGATGACTCCTTGATGACGTAGCGAGGCCATTACGACTGCCAGAGTTTTGGAAAAAAACTGAGGGCAGTTGAAAGGCCAAAGGTGAGCACTCAGTACTGGTAGTGTTGGGAGCCCACCTTGAATCGTAGAAAACGTCTGTGTGCCGGGTGGATGATGATATGAAAGTAGGCATCTTGGCGGTCGAGAGCTGAAAGCCGGTCTCCTTGATCCAGAGCAGGGATGATAGTTGCTAACGTAACCATTTTGAAATGGTGGTAAGCAATGTACTTGTTGAGTGTCCTCAGGTACAATATGGGACACCATCCTCCATTCTTCTTCTGCGTTAGGAAGTAAGTTGAATAGAAGCCCCGACCATGGAATTCCATTGGTACTTGCTCCACGACCCCCAACTGTAACTTCCTGATGAAGGAGGATTTCATGAGATGGGTCCCTGAAAAGGGACGGGGTAGGGGGATGGGTGAGGGGCATAGAGAAGAAAGGGATGACGTAACCATGTTGGATCAGTTGTAGGACCCATCTGTCCGATGTTATTTGAGTCCATTGATGGAAAAAAACCCAGAGTGGGTGGTTGAACGGAGGAGACTCAGGCGTGTGTGTTATTGGAGTGGGTATTCGGCTCCCGACATATTTTTCAAATTTGTTGTTTAGTTGCAGGCGAGTGAGTCGTCGCAGAGCATTGCTGTTGCTGTCGTTGTGGTCTACGATGTTGTGGCCTCTGTCTCTGCCAGAAATCATACCGAGGTTGCTGTTGGAAAGGCTCCTTAGGTCTCTGGTAAGTCGAGAATCTTGTTCTTTTTGTGGGGGGGTGTGGGGAGTGTACATCCCCAATGTTCTGAGTGTCGTCCGTAATACCTCATCTGTCTTGGCAGCAAAGAGGTTGGTTTTATCAAATGGTAAGTCCTCAACCTTTTGCTGTAAATCTCTGGAGACTCCGGAAGCCTGTAGCCATGATACCCTGCGTAATACGATGGCTGATGAGGTGTCACGGGCTGCGGTATCTGCTATGTCCATTGTGGACTGTAAGGCAGTACGCGAGACTGCATGGCCTTCATGCATTTATATTAAAGAGTGTTGACCGTTTATGTTCAGGTAAATGTTGTGCCAAGTCCCGGAGTTTGGAATAATTTGCAAGATCGTAATCCGCAAGCATTGCCATATAGTTTGCTGCTCGAAGGTGCAGAGTGGTAGACGAATAGACCTTACGGCCCATAACGTTTACTCTCTTGTGGTCTCTATCCTGTGGCGTCGTCTTAAGGTTAGGTTGTCTTCCTGTGACGAACCGAATCCACCACTAGAGAATTAGGTGGTGGATGAGTGAAAAGGAAATTTGCATAGATGCGGGAGTCTGCCATATGTTATCAGTTGGGTCCATAATGGCCTCATCCATAGGGATTGCCAGACGAGAGGTAGTGGATGGTTCTAGTGTACGTAGGAGCTTATACTGTTTAAGTTGTACCTCCTGTAAGTCCAGTTCCTGTGCTAATGCCACCCTCTTCAAAAGGTCATGAAATTTTCTCAAGTCAGCACTGGATGGTAGAGCTTCATCAGGTGTGACTGCTTCATCAGGTGAGGATGAGGAATTATGTAGAGGAGACCTGTCTTCACCCTTTGAGAGAGAATCTTGTATCTCAGAGCAACTTGGGGAATTTGGCTCTGTAATGGACACAGTAAGAGGTGGCGAAGCTGGTGGTCTGGAAATTGTTGAAGGAGGCTGATGATGACTTCGCTTTGGTGTGGCTCACATGGTTGCCATTGAGTAGTGTATGGCAGTGGTGGGTAACTATATTGTTGTGCATACCATGGTGGTGGCAGAGGTGGGTATGCGTAATGTGTGACCGGAGGCTGCCAAGTCCTGTGCACAGGAATAGAATGTTGGTAGGAGAATCTGCTCCTGGGTTACGTGCCTGCATCACTCGGAGACCGTGAGATGTGAGACGATCTGCAGGAATGTATTGATTGTACTGAAGAAGCTCGTGAGGTCAGTGCCAGCGGCAAGCGGCTCCATACCGGGAAGCAGTCGTGCGCAGTATGCTGGCTCGGTGCCGAGGTGTGGGACTTGCTCGGTGCTGAGCAGTCCGGGGGCGGCATGTCGGTGCGGGGCTTTTTCACAGCTGGTGGTGGTGCCACCGACCAGTGCTGTGGCTCTTTTGGCACCGTATGCTCCTTATGGCCCACCGGTGCGGCCGGTGCCCAAAAGGAGGTCGGTGCCGTTGACATGGGTGGTGCCAATGCTCTTTGTCTCGCCTCCCAATGTTTGTGCGGTGCCAGTGTCTTGGCCGAAGCTGTACCAGACAGGCCCGGTTTATCCTCGGTGCTAACCCATGAGGCTGAGGGTGCCAAGGGTAGCAAGCGGGTTGGGGAACGAGCCGTTCTCGATGCCACTGGAGTAAACAGAGCAGAGGCACATGACTTATCCGTACCCTTGGTCAGAGAGGCCATTTCTGGAGCCACTGGTGGGTCGTCCGATGGAGGTCGGAAAGACTTTTCATAAAGGATCATTTTCAGCCTATTAGCTCGATCCCGATGTGCTCTGGTGGTCAATTTTGAGCGGTGCTGGCATTTTTGAGTCTGGTGGGATTCGCCGAGACACTTAATACAATTGGCATGTCCATCAGACACGAGCATAGCATCCCAGCATGTCTGACACCTTTTAAAGCCGAGGGATCCCAGCATGAGGCGCAGGGAACAAGCGGCAAGCCGCAATGAGAGAAAAATTTTTGTTTGTTTGTTCTAACTGTAGACTGGGTGGGTAGTAGGGTGAAATAACTTGGACTCCAAGGTAACTATGGGAATTAACCAGGGTTTCAATCTATTTTTAACCAAAGATGAAGAGAGAGAAAGAAGCTCCGCCTGCTGCCAAGGACAGTAAAGAAGGAACCAAGGAGCCGTGCTGGGCGCACGCCTAACAAATTCCAATGACACGGGGGCGCTCTGGCGTGTGCGTGGTAGAAACAGCTAGAAAGATCTCCAGTCGCCGGCGCGAGGACACACCAGCACCCAGAGTAGAGCACCAACGAGGACCACTCGAAAGAGAATATTTGATGCCCTCAACTATAACTATATGCTCTTTCTTGCTGTAAGTGGGGCTATCCAGAGGGGCTAAAAGGCGAAAGGTTATACTATGGCCTGTCGAGGTGGGCCTTTGGGTCCTCGTGGATTCTCTACTTCCCCACTCCCATGGATAGGCACGGGGGAGATGGAGACTCACCACCTCCATAAGGGTTGGGGGGGGGGTAGTGGCTAAAGCTTGCCCTATTCTTCAATACTGGCCTTCTAATTCCTTTAATTTAGTTCCGTTAATTAACAATTCAATTAATCTCTGGTCCAAATATCTGGTTAGGTCTAGTGATGTGGACACAGAGCTGGACAAATCCTTCAAACTACTCAGGATTAATCGTTAGCTTGGCTAGTGTCTAGGCCTCCACAGGCATTGGATATTACTACATTTACTAGCCTGGATACTATAGGGTTTCTTTGTTCTTTGCCATAAGTGTTGCTGACAGTTTCCAGGCCCAAACCAGCCTGTGATGGTATCTGCTAAGCCCCGTTGCCGAATTAGGTGTTTACCAATTACCATTCCAGCAATCAAAAAGGTTTTCAGTTCCTGAAAAAATTATATACAGCGTTACTTATTAGTGCTATATTAATAGTAATAATGACATTAAATGTTGTCAAATAGATGCTTATACATATCTTATTTGTATTTGGACAATTTACTTCAAAGGACAGGTGTTTTATATTCCTTGGAAATAGCCAGGAAGCCTGTATTCACATATAACATTGGATTTGAAAGCAAGCCAAAAGTATTATCAACTCAGCCTTGAAAGAGACAGTGAAGTTCCAAAGCTTGAATTTCTAAAATAATAATTTGTTTCTAGGGAGTTAAATTAACCGTAAGAGTTGAATGCCCAACACAAGCACTAGCCAATTTGTGCCTTGTCTGTTTGTAATTTTAAGCAAGAGGGCATTTAAAAAAATGAAATAAAACTAGTTCATTTGAAACCTACAAAATAGTTACTATATATAGAGCTCATTCTTTTATGCAGTTAACCAATTAAGTTTCAGTAGAATTCCTAATTTCTCCTTTGCAGATTTAACAAAAGTGTTCGTAGCCAAATAGTTAAATGTGATTGTTTCTTTGCCTAGATGATTTGCACACTTCTTAAGAAAGAGGCTGCAAAGAAACAAGGTGTCATTTTAAAAGCAGGTTTCCCTTCACATATTACAACAATCGCTTAATTCCTTCCACACTCCCATGAAGTCCACTTCTCATCTTCACATACCCCCAATCACTTGCTTTGTCCTTCCAAAGAAAATGTTCCTCATTCCTAGTAACTTTCCACTGTCTGTCCTACTTTCCTTATTCCTTCCACTATGCCCATGATAGGGCTCCAAACCTTTTGCCTTCCCCTTTAACATGCTTTTTCCTTCTTATGGTCCATCCTGATTCCTGCTAAATGACTTTTCCCAATGACACAAGTTTGTCCAATATTAATTTGGTAAGGAGGGTGGGCTTTCCGATGAGCCCCCCACACCTCCTGATTCTCTTCAGTAGGTAAATCCGAATGTTCATTATTGCAGTCAGCTATTACTAATTTTAAACTTCTGAGTATAGGGTTTTCATAACATCCATGCTGCAGCCGAGTCTGCGGTTTTTATTTTTGACAGTGAAATTAAGAGATTGTAAACGTTGTCAATTTACTTCAAAGTCTGTAGGGTTTCCTGAAAAGTTCATTCTATACCGGCTTTGGGGTTAACTACTTCCTTAAACTTGATAGGAGATCTAGGTTGCCAATTGTGTCTCCTTATCAGGGGCCAACGATGATTACATCTTCAAATTCAATTGCCATTAGCTGGCTTAAGGCGGCTTTTAATTTACCTCCTCCCATGCCCTCGAGCCAAATATAATGGCATGTGAGGGGAAGGTTTGGCTGCTTATTAATAATTTGCCCAGCTGCCCTCCTGCCCCCGTTCATGTACTACAAAACATTATTTGCTGGCACGGAGCTTAAGAATCTCCTGGAGTTGCTTGAGTTGCTTGGCAGTTTCTCCTGCTCCTGTGTGATGTTCTGCGTGTCCTGTGAGCTAGGGGCGCTCCTGCTCGGCCACTGTCCTGCCTTACCCCCTCCGGGGTGGCAGCATTCTTCCTTAATGTGGCCAATCTTTTTGCAGTTGTTACAAAGTTTGGGCTTCCTTTTGTGCCCACAGTCCCGTGTTATGTGCCCCAGCTTCCCGCAGGTGTAGCAGAAAGTAGCCTGGATTGGATGGATTGTGGCCGCTGCCTTTATAGTGTTGATTGAAGCTACTGTCTTTCCCTTCCTGTTCTGTAAATCGATATTCCACTTCATTATGTATGTGTATGCGTTTCCAACCAAAATGCCTAGGGCCAATACAACTTGATGGTCGGTGGACATCCCTTCCTTCAGAATTTGGAGGAACACTTCCCCTAAGCTGGCAAGTTTATTCCAAGACTCAGACTACGTCTACACTGGCCCCCTTTCCGAAAGGGGCATGCTAATTTTCAACTTCAGAATAGGGAAATCTGCGGGGGATTTAAATATCCCCCGCGGGATTTAAATAAAGATGTCCGCCGATTTTTTCCGGCTTGGGGAAAAGCCGGAAAAAAGCGTCTAGACTGGCCCGATCCTCCGGAATAAAGCCCTATTCCGGAGGATCTCTTATTCCTACTTTGAAGTAGACGCTTCTACTTTTCCCCAAGACGGAAAAAAGCGGCGGACATCTTTATTTAAATCCCGCGGGGGATATTTAAATCCCCCGCGGATTTCTCTATTCTGAAGTTGAAAATTAGCATGCCCCTTTCGGAAAAGGGGCCAGTGTAGATGTAGCCTCAGTGTTTCGGTTTGGATCAAGCAGATTTGTTACTAGAGCTCATTTTTCCCGAGGGAAGATCTGATCCCTTTCAGTTATCTTTTGTGCCTCCTCTCTATCTTCAATGATGTGTGGGAATGGCCCATATGGGACTGGGCATAGAGAGGGGAGGAGGGGGTGATGTTGTGCTGAATTTCCCCCGAAGCTTGGGAGAGGTGGCGTAGTTGTTACGGCACCAGATGAGAAATCTTTACCTCTCACTCCTAGTGCATTCCTTTGGCACACAGGTGCTGCAACTGCTTGTAAGTTACATTTCTCACTGCAGGAAGGATTTTTGCTCCTCTGAGCTTCAATCTCATCCCTCAGGGCTTTAATTTCTTCCTCTTTTAACGTGAGGGTTTTTAACAATGTTATTACTACTTTTTTGGTGTTTTCACTTTTTTTTTTTTAATTCCCCACTTGATCAAATCCTTCTCTGGTGCTTATTTGTACAGGCAGTCCCCGGGTTACGTACAAGATAGGGACTGTAGGTTTGTTCTTAACTTGAATCTGTATGTAAGTCGGAACTGACGCTGCCGGCGTCCTCAGAGGCTTTGCTCCCCGTCTCCCTGGTCTGCTGGTCTCCAGCAGACCAGGGAGATGGGGAGCAAACCCCGTTCGTAACTGCGGATCTGACATAAGTCGGATCCACGTAACTCAGGGACTGCCTGTAGTCTAGATGTTCCAGTGGGCTAGCTCCCCCTTCTCCCTGCCATGTTATGGCTTCTTTCTCTCTGCTCCTGCCTGTATTACTTGTTTGGGGTTTTTTCCTTCACTTTTTTCCTTTTCTTTTCCAATCTTGATTTGTGAGCACAAGCCCCCCAGATCAAGCGTTGTCGTTTTGGGCAGCTTGCCTCCCTTTAGATGTCACAGACACTGATACCCCACAATCCTGGGAATATTGGGAATCTCTCCCTCCCTTTTCTCTGTACACAGCTTTGCTGTTTCCCCCAGGGGATGAGTTTTCCCCTGCGTGGGTCGGCCTTTCCCTCCTATACTTCCGTATATAGCTTATACCGCATGGTCATTGTGCTTTTGGCACCCTCCCACTGCCGGCTTGGTTGGGGATCTGCACTATTCGAGGGTGTATACGTCATTGCCTGTTGGGGGGCTTCCATCAGGTCTTACAATGTTACGTGCAATGAGGGAGTGTACCGCCAGTTCATACTGCCTGCCTTGCGTACCCAGTCAATTCTGAGCTTAATATGGCTTAGAACAGCTCAATAACTCCCTGGTGGTTTTATCCAGTCCCTTCGTAAGAGCCCCTTAGCTCAAACAGTACACTGCCCTCTTGTGCTTGTCCCCTCAGGCCTGCTTCTATGCTTGGTTCACACACATCCAAGTGTCTCGTGCCTCAAACGGGAACGGATCCAGGATGTGTCTGAGGAAAGGAAAGACTTCAAACTCTAGCCTAATGAGGTGATAAATAAACACACTCACCTTTCTTTGGGTATCAGTCTCCAATCCCCAATTAGCTCACAACTCCTGGATCCTGGATGAGCCCGCAAACTGTAGGGAATAATTCCGGACACACTGGGTGCAGGTGAAAACAAGCAGAGGATTTATTGGTTCACACAGCTGGTGGAGTGCTCACGAGGCTAACCCCCTGATGAGTACTCCACCAGCTATGTGAACCAATAAATCCTCTGCTTGTTTTCACCTGCACCTAGTGTATCCGGAATCATTCCCTACAGTTAGGGTGCCTTTGTAGTTCATTATGCAGCTTGAGTCGCCTTAAAGTGTCCCAATTTTCATAAACTGCTGAGCACTCTGACTTTGTAAATCAAACCCCTTTAATGCTTCAAAATGGACACCTATAAATTTAGGCCCAATAAAATCATTAGTCACTTTTGAAAATGTTGGCCTTATAAATGCTTTTTCTTTGGCAACAGTAGAGCAAAGGGTTTAGTTTAGTGGACCTTTTTTTGCTAATATATCCGGTACACCTGTTCTTGAGTCAAAATGGGCTACTGAGCCTTAAAAGTCAAAGCAATCTCTTTGGGCCCCAGAGGAGGCAGATTACCTACTACCATGCATGAGGAATAGGGAGTAACTTTATGAGTATCCTAAGGCTCAGAAGGGTTGCTGGAACTGATGGTCTAAGGACTGAGGGATGGGGATTAATAATCTCAAAGGCTCCTATGCTGTGAATTGCAATACAGGCAGTCCCCGGGTTACGTACAAGATAGGGACTGTAGGTTTGTTCTTAAGTTGAATCTGTATGTAAGTCGGAACTGGCATCCAGATTCAGCCGCTGCTGAAACTGACCAGCACTGACTACAGGAAGCCCGAGGCAGAGTTGCTCTGCCCCGGGCTTCCTGGAATCAGCCGCTGATCAGTTTCAAGTTGATTCTGTATGTAAGTCGGAACTGGCATCCAGATTCAGCCGCTGCTGAAACTGACCAGCACTGACTACAGGAAGCCCGAGGCAGAGTTGCTCTGCCCCGGGCTTCCTGGAATCAGCCGCTGATCAGTTTCAAGTTGATTCTGTATGTAAGTCGGAACTGGCATCCAGATTCAGCCGCTGCTGAAACTGACCAGCACTGACTACAGGAAGCCCGAGGCAGAGTTGCTCTGCCCCGGGCTTCCTGGAATCAGCCGCTGATCAGTTTCAAGTTGATTCTGTATGTAAGTCGGAACTGGCATCCAGATTCAGCCGCTGCTGAAACTGACCAGCACTGACTACAGGAAGCCCGAGGCAGAGTTGCTCTGCCCCGGGCTTCCTGGAATCAGCCGCTGATCAGTTTCAAGTTGATTCTGTATGTAAGTCGGAACTGGCATCCAGATTCAGCCGCTGCTGAAACTGACCAGCACTGACTACAGGAAGCCCGAGGCAGAGTTGCTCTGCCCCGGGCTTCCTGGAATCAGCCGCTGATCAGTTTCAAGTTGATTCTGTATGTAAGTCGGAACTGGCATCCAGATTCAGCCGCTGCTGAAACTGACCAGCACTGACTACAGGAAGCCCGAGGCAGAGTTGCTCTGCCCCGGGCTTCCTGGAATCAGCCGCTGATCAGTTTCAAGTTGATTCTGTATGTAAGTCGGAACTGGCATCCAGATTCAGCCGCTGCTGAAACTGACCGCCAGTTCCGACTTACATACAGATTCAACTTAAGAACAAACCTACAGTCCCTATCTTGTACGTAACCCGGGGACTGCCTGTATATAACTGATGTTACAAGTGGACTGTCTTAATCTGTATCTAGCTAATTTGTGTGGAACAGCTACAGCCTGGTAAGTGTCATTTCTCTGAAAGTAGAACTACAAAGCATGTGGGTCCCATATGCAAATGTAGGATTGGTTAAAGATTTATAAAATTGGTCTAGATGAAGAATGAGTTCTTTTGAGCACAAGTATTATTACTAAAATTTAAAAAGTGCACTTATCTTATTGGTTGCTTTTGAACAAAGCAGACAGGTTTACAATCCGTCCCAGATTCTCATTTCTTTCTGGAGTCTCAGAGCTGCGTGAAGTACATAACCAGTTGCTTCTTTGAGTTAGCTGTGAAATTCCATAGTAAAAAGAAAAGAAGCAGGATATAAAAAATCAGATTTACAGGATAAGGATCTGAATCAACTCCTGAATGCTACAATTTAGCCACGTGGTCAGTCATGCCAATGCCAGCCAGGAATACCTGGAAACATAATGGACAAACACCACAGATTTCAGTAATGTGAAATCAACTGGGATTTGTTCTACAGGCTATTAGGGAAATAAAGAAACAGAAAGCTATTACCTACCACGTTAAATAGATACCTAGTACAGAGCAGCACCTGAACAAATTGTTCTAACTCTGCTTTCTGGTTGAATTAAATTCCTGCGCCTGACATTAAAAGGCAGCTATGTTAATCCTTGTGGCAATGCTTAAGAATAAGCACAATGTGCTTAATATAAAAAAAAAGAACAAAGCAGCTTCTTGTTCACCTTTTTACTTGACAACTGGCTCAAATCCTTCTTCCAAAACACAGAACCACTGCAGCTACCAACAGCATTGCTTAAAATAACAGCTCCATAGGTTGCACTTCACACCAGTGTTTCAAGCAATTTTACCAACTTCTCAGGACAGAATAAAGCGCTTCTCATCTTACCTACCAGCACTCAAAGCCTGGCAGAGAGTGAAGATGGAGAGAAAGCCAAACTAGGGTAAACGGAAAGCTTTATTTATTTGAATTACCATACTGCTCCTAGACACCCAATGTGATATGGGGACCCCATTGTGGTAGGCTCTCCAGCCACACACCCATATGGTTTTCCAAGCTAACCAGGCAAAGTGCATGGAGCAAGGACTCTGTGGTGCAACAGATAATCTTTCAACTTCATCCCCTTGCTTTTCATACAATGAAAGATGTAACCACTGAGATAGGCTAACCAGACCAGCTCCTTTTCTTTTTTTCTTGCCACTAATCTCTCTATTGCAATGCCCATTAGAAGACACTGAGTCCAACTAAAAACCAGCCATGAATTTAAGCTGGCTCATTGGTGTATCAAAGAAATGTGGAGACGCTTAATTGGACAGGCAGTGTTGTGGTATGCATATGTAATTGGAAAAATCTAGTTAGGAAAGCTGAGAGGCATTTGTTTATGAGACTGTAAGTAACACATGAAACAAGACTAAAGAAGAGAAGTCTGAAT